GGGCATTAGGGTCAATTAGCTCAGTTGGATGGAATGGATGGTTTGCAATGCACAGTGATGCCAACAGTGGGTTCAATTCCCACACCAGCTGAGGTTACTGTGAAGGTCCTGCCTTAACACCCTCGCTCCTTACCTGAAAAGTGGTTAAACTCACCATCAGTTGATGATAGAGCAGCCCTATGTTCTTCTGGGACTATGGTAACTTTACTAATGAAGGGCATTGATGCAGGGGTAAACTACAAAGCAGTTCCCAGAAAGGGGAATTAATTCAGTAAGAGTGCAAGTAAGTAGACCTCCAAAAACTCTGTGGTGGAATTCACAAGAGACAGGAGAAATGTTTAAACATAGAGTAACTGGAGAGTGCTCTTCTGTCACTGCAGTAATGTTTCTACCTCTGGGCCAATACCCACCCACCCCAGAGATTTGTCACAGCATGTCTAAACAGGATAGTTAAAATAACTGAGGAAATCCAATTAATGGATAGTAAGTAAGTGACTGCAGGCAAAGTTGTAGGAATGAGAAAATCACATTGGCAAAAAGGTCAGATAAAATCATGGCATGCTGTAGAAAGAATGGAGGAAATTGAGAGAGCTGTTAAACTCAAACATGCTGAGTAAAGCTGTAGAACAAAGAGGTTGATTAGACATAGAGACTAAAATGGTTTTTCTGACTAATGAGTCAATTCATGCCATTAAGCTTTCAAATTGTGTCACATTCTGCTTTTCCTCTTAAGGATATATCATTGTGAGCACCACAAAGTACATTCTAATTATAAACTGACCATTATATATTTTACCTTTATATTCAGCTATTTTATCTTTAACAATTCTAATCAAAAATATGTGGTGAGAGAATAATCTTCATATTGATGGTACTTGGTTTTTTTGCTGAATAATCCATACAACTACAAATGTGTCTTCAGGAGAATTTTTATAAAGCTAGAGAAAGAATTCCAAATTTCATTTTACCACTTCCTGTCTGAGCTGAGAGTTATGGTTATCTTTATAGCACAAGCATTTTGCCAACTTTTCAATATGAGTTGCGGCCTTTCAGCCTTTTTTAATTCACTCATGGGACATGGGCTTCGCTGTCTGGGCTAGCATTTATTGCCCATCTCTAATTGCCCTCGAGAAGGTGGTGGTGAGCTGCTTTCTTGAACTGCTACAATCCACGTGCTATCAGTTGACCCACAATGCCCTCAGGGAGGGAATTCCAGGATTATGATCCAGTGACAGTGAAGGAACGTTCCAGCTCAGGATAGTGAGTGGCTTGGAGGGGGACTTGCAGGTGGTGGTGTTCCCATGTATCTACTGCCCTTGTCCTTGGAGATGGAAGTGGTTGTGGGTTAGGAAGGTGCTGTCTAAGGCACATTGCTGAATTTCTGCAGTGCATCTTGTAGTAGTACACAGCTGCCACTGAGCACTAGTGGTGGATGGAGTGGATGTGGTGCCAGTCAAGCAGCCTGCTTTGTCCTGGATTGTCTCAAACTTCTTCAGTATTTTTGGAGCTGCATTCATCCAGGCAAGTGGCAAGAATTCCATCACACTCCTGACTTGTGCCTTTTTGATGGTGGACTTTGGGGAGTCAGGAGATGAGTTACTTGTTGCAGGATTCCTAACCTATGACCTGTTCTTGTAATCACAGGACTATTTGATTAGTCCAGTTCAGTTTCTGGTCAATGGTAATCCCCAGGATGTTGATAGTGGGGGATTCAGTGGCGGTAATGTCACAGAGTGTCAACAAACAATGGTTAGATTCTCTCTGGTTCGATATGGTCGTTGCCTGGCATTTGTATGGAGTAAATGTTATTTGCCATTTGTCAGCCCAAGCCTTTGTCTAGGTTTTGGCTGTATTTGAACATGGACTATATCAGTATCTGAAGAGGTGCGAATGGTGTTGAACATTGTGAAATTATCAGCAAACATCCCCAACTTCTGGCCTTATGAGCAGCTTAAGATGATTGGGCTTGGGACACTACCCTGAGGAACTCCTGCAGAAATGTCCTGAGCTGAGATGACTGACCTCCAACAACCACAACCATCTTCCTTTGTACCAAGTATGACTCAGCCAGTGAAGAGTTTGCTCCCTGAGTCACTTTGATTCCTGTTTTGCTAGAAATCCTTGATGACATGCGCAAATTCTGCTTTGATGTCAAGGGCAGTCACTGTCGCCTTTCCTTTGGAATTCAGCTCTTTTGTCCATTTTTGGAATACGGCTGTAACGAGGTCAGGAGCTGAGTGGCCCTAAAGGAACCCAAACTAAGCCTCAGTGAATAGGTTTTTGCTAAGCAAGTGTTGCTTAGTAGCACTGTTGATGACATCTTCCATTACTTTAGTAGTTATGGATAGTAGACCAATAAGGCAATAATTGGCCTGGTAGGATTTGTCCTGGCTTTTGTGTACAGGATAAACTTGGGCAATTTTCAACATTGTCAGGTAGTTGCCAGTGTTGTAACTGTATTGGAAGAGCTTGGCCAGGGGAGTGGCAAGTTCTGGAGCACAAATCTTCAGTACTATTGCCAGAATATTGTCAGGACCCATAGCCTTAGAATCCAGTGCCTCCAACAATTTCTTGATATCATGTGCTTTGAATCGAATTGGCTGAAGACTGGTATCAATGATGCTGGGTCCACTGGAGGGGGCTGAGATGGATCATCCACTCAGCACTTCTGGCTGAAGATTACTGCGAATGCTTCAGCCTTATCTTTTGCACTGATGAGCTGGGCTCTTCCATCATTGAGGATGGGGATATTTGTGGAGCCTCTTCCTCCAGTGAATTATTTAATTATCCATCATAATTCATGACTGGATGTGGCAAGAGCTAAGATCTGATCCATTGAGTGTGAGATCGCTTAGCTCCGTCACTAGCTACCTATGCTGTTTGGTATACAATTAGGCCTGGTGCTGCTCCTGGCATGCCCTCCTGCACTCTCCATTGAACCAGGGTTGATCCCTGGCGTGATGGTAATGGTTGAGTGGGGGTTTTGCCGGGCCATGAACTTACAGATTGTGCTGGAGTACAATTCTGCTCCTGTTGATGGCCTGCAGTGTCTCATGGATGCCCAGTCTTCAGGTAGCCATGGACATTAAATGCTGGCCTAGCCAGCGATGCCTTCATCCCGAGAATGAATGGAAAAGAAACTCCTCCCTGACCACTTCTGCTGGGCCTGTCCTGCTGTTGGGACGCAACATTTTCAGGGAAGGTGATGCGGGTGTGTGGGACGTTGTGTGTAAGGTATGATTCAATGAGTATGTCTGTAAGACTGTCTGTGCGATAACTCTGCCAGTTTTGGCACTAGCCCCTAGATCTTAATAAGGAGGATTTTGCACAGTCGAGAGGGCTTTGATATTATATTGGCAGTATTCTTGAATCAACACAGTGATCCTTCAGTTTTTTCTGATCCAGTTCTGTATTGAACGTGTTTTGAAGATCCCACTAGAGGGACTGCAGGAAGTGACAATTGCTACAAACCTGTTACAGTCTTAATTCACACATTCCTACCAGTTACTGTGAAATCTTGTTATTGGGCTGTATGTTGTGGAAATGTTACATTAGTTGGTGTGTGCTGTTTATTAGACTTTTTCCTCCAGCTCTCAGCTTGAACATAATTTAAAGTGTAACTTTAGTTAAGCCAGCTTGAGTAACAGCACAGCAAAGACAATGAGGTTTCTAATATCTTAATATGTGGCAGGACTAATGGTATATTCCATTAATCAATAATATTTAAACATTGAAAACAAAATAGAGCTGGACATGAGGGTGAATTAGAGTCCAAACAAGCACAAAAAGCAAAATGAATTGAAGGAAAGAAATATTGTTTACAGAGAGAGAAAGAGACAGGCAGAAAATTAGGAAAATACAATTAGAAAGATGTTTATGCTGTGTGTTTTCAACGGATAATTAATGTGCAAAGCTGTAAATGCTGGAAAAAGAATGGGAAGATTGAGGGTGAAGTGTCAGTGGGCAGGACAAACAGCAGACTGTTGTTTAATTAAACCCTCATTGTTATAAAACCATATTATTTTATACATCAGTTGATCTGATCTTCCTAACGTTGTATCTTCCGTGTTTTAACAAAGAACACAAGGTTCCTGCTCAAGGTACGCTTCCCAACTGCTTAATGTTGGCATTGTTTGTTCCTTTCAATTACTGAATACTGTGAGCAATGGTTCTGTCCTTGGTCAAAGATATCTGCTTTCATTTCACCTCCACAAAAGTTTCCTTTGTTACCAATATGTGACATTATAGCAACTGCACTAGAAGTCAATATTGTTTTCACTTGATTTAATGCATTCATGGCTTAAACGGTGTCAGATCTTATGTCATTTGCCTTCCCTTAAGAGGTTTGTCATATACTTTAACAATTTAAGATGTGTCCATTGAACATGACTGCAATTCAGGAGCCCATCTTCATATTCTCAAATGTAACGTTGAGATTCCCCTCTAAATAGGCTTCATCCCTAAATCTGTCACTAAACAGACTTCTTGAACACTGGTTAGAGAACTATTTGAATGTCAGGAGAATGAGCACTAAGATGTAATGAATACATGAAACAACAATCCAGGATGAATCAAACTGCATTCCATACAATATTCCAGACTCTTACATCTTCCTACTAGAGTCAATTACTGATTTCAATCCTAAGAGCCCTGGTAACCCTGCACAACAACGTTCTTATTCCCCTGCATTAAACTGTGATCACACCAGGAAAGGTTTAAGAAACATTTTGCTAGGACATAGTTTTCTCTCTTCAATAATGACCCTATTCCTACATAAATCACTAGAGTTAGTAATAAAAAATTAATAGTTACATTTACTTTATATTTATGAGAACATAATGTATCACCGAAGGTCAGTTGCCAGTGAGATTATATTTTTAATTCTAAACTCAATTGCTCACATTGAGTACTGTTTGGTTCTATTTATGTTTTCTATTCTTACTGAAGAATCTTTGTTCTTTTGTCTTTTTGCATTTCGTCATGTGTGCAGAAAGTTACATAATGACCACAGCAACGAGTGAAGCTGTTGCATCCAAATGCAAGCAGGAGTGAGTATGTTGTGATGTGAGAAAACCAGGCTATTTTTGATTTTACTCTAATCTCGATAGGTCACCACTTGTTAAAGTCACAATTTAATGCCGCACACCTTCTTGTTCTCATGCATTCTGTTTAAAATCATCAACAGCAGGAACTCCTCTCAAAAGTGGAATTGGATTTTAAATCAACATCACCTGGCAGTTAAACAAAAGTAGAAGTGTTCAGTTAAAGTAAACTACAGACATTTTTATTTGGGGTATAAGAACATAAGAAATAGGAACAGGAGTAGGCCATCTGGCCCCTCGAGCCTGCTCCACCATTCAATAAGATCATGGCTGATCTTTTTGTGGACTCATCTCCATTTACCCATGGGCTCACCATAACCTTTAATTCCTTTGCTGTTCAAAAATCTAACTATCTTTGCCTTAAAAACATTTAACGAGGTGGTCTCAATTTCTTCACTGGGCAGAGAATTCCACAGATTCACAACTGTTTGGGTGAGGAAGTTCCTTCTCAATTCAGTCCTAAATCCGCTCCCCCTTATTTTGAGGCTATGCCCCTTAGTTCTAGTTTCACCCACCAGTGGAAACAACCTCCCTGTTTCTATCTTATCTATTCCCTTCATAATCTTATATGCTTCTAATATGATCCCCCCTCATTTTTCTAAATTCCGATGAGTATAGTTCCAGACGTCTCAATCTCTCCTCATAAGTCAACTCTCTGAATTCCAGAATCAACCTAGTGAACATCAGGTTGTAGACTTGCTCACCAAGCCGGTGGGTTTGGTTGCAGACGTTTCGTCACCGTTCTGGGTAACATCGTCAGAGCGCCTCCGGTGAAGTAGTGGTTATTTCTATGCCTCAGTTTTTTTTCTATTCATTTTATTTGTGCGATGTGGGTGTCGCCGGCTGGCCAGCATTTCTTGCCTGTCCCCAGTTGCCCTTGAGAAGGTGGTGGTGAGCTGCCTTCTTGAACCTCTGCAGTCCTCCTGCTGTAGGTTGACCCACAGTGCTATTAGGGTGGGAATTTGGCACGAACCCCCAGATGTTAGAGAGGAGGACCTTGCAGGGTCGACAGGGCTGTTTCTGTCGTTGTCTTTTCCGGTGCCTAGGTCGATGCCAGGTGATCCACCCAGTTTCATTTCTTTGAGACTTTGTAGCAATTGATACAACTGAATGGCTTGCTTGGCCATTTCAGAGGGCAGTTAAGAGTCAACCACATTGCTGTGGCTCTGGAGTCACATATAGGCCAGATCAGTAGATTCTTAGTTCCAGACTTTTTTTAAAACTCAAATTCCAGCATCTGCCGTGGTGGGATTTGAACCCAGGACCCCAGAACATCAGGTGGGTTTCTAGATTATAGTCTAGCGATAATATCACTAGGCCATCACCTACCATTGCATTACTTCCAGTAATCGTCTCAAAAACTCTAGTGAATACCCTCTGTACCCCCTCCTGTGCCAGTACATCCTTTCTCAAGTAAGGAGACCAAATGGAGTGAAGCACTCTTTCCTATTATCTGCATCTTTTGAGTCATCATGTTTTTCTAAGATTTTTTTTCCTAACATTAAAATGTTTGGCCAACAATATTTAGTGATGCAACAACTCACATTTATACAGCAGATTCAAGATAGTAAGTGTGCCAAGAATGTGTGAATATGAGCATTGGAATCAGAGTAAAATAATGTCATGGAGAACTGTTAAGTTTCTGTTTCTAATGCATCTTAAGCACATGGCCATGTTACTTCTGTCTTCCTCTTTATGTCAGTCTGTTCCTACCCATTTCAGAAAGCTGTTCAAAGTGGAGAAATCTGCTTTTATAGATTTCCACATTGCAGATCCACACTCCCTGGTATTTTTCCAAATCTTTTCCAGGTGCTTGAACTGCCATTAATTCTATGACTTCTTCCATCAGGTATTAATTGATCATCCTCAGAAATAAGATAATGTTATCGGGATAAAAGTTGAACAAAATGTTGGCTAGTTATAGAAGGATTATTGGTGTGATTTAAGTCTTACAGAATGGTAACCATAATGCATGGTCAAAACTCTGCATTATACAGCACTTTGTTGGAATACATTTTCCCAGGCATTTCACGGGACCATTGTCAAAGAGAAATTGACAAGATTAGAACAGGTCACCAATAGCTTGTTCAAGAAGATAGATATTAAAGATCATTTCAATGGGAGTCAAAGAGGAATTAAAATTGGACTTGTACAAGAGGCCAGAATTGAATAATCACTCTCAGAGGGTTATGAGGCAGGGAAAAGTTGGAGTTGGGCAGAGATGGATCTCTGGAGGGAATTAAATAATGAGGATGAGGTTATTCAAATATTACACGCTTTTGTTAAAGTGGGGATCGTTTTGATTTCTGCCTCCTTACAATACAATTTGAAATTTGTACAATTCATTCTTGGATAATTCTTTGTCATTGAATCTATTTCTTTCTGAAAGTGCTGAGAAGGCATCAATAAAAGAAACAATGGAGAAATTAGGGCAACCAGTGACTGATCTTTTCATGAACAAGGACGAGCATAAGACGATGGACAAATCGGGCATTGTGCCTCTTAACTCCCTCCTCCGCTTCAGTGTTGATGCCGAAAGGCCACAGTCCAAGCCAAAGAGCAGTTCACGTTTTGGAAGGCTCAGTTACCATTCCTTTTTCTCCCGGCACAATCCACATCCTCATCGAGTAAGACACATCAATGGTAAGACCTATTTGTAAGTGTTTAATTTGCAACGCTATACAATTTAGACAACATTGAAGATCCATTTACCTTATCTTAACATATCTGTCTATAAAGTAAATATATTCACACCATAAAAGATTTCAGAGTCTTTGTTTCTCTACGCTACATGCTACTTTATTCCTTGTTGATTGCTGTTTGCATGAAGAAGAATGATTTAGTTATCCTAACTTTGCATTACAATGCATATCCATACCCCAGTAATTACTCCATGTTCAACTCTGTGTTAGAATTACAGGCATCTCTGAGATTGATCTAGATAAATTGGGGTGGTATGGTGGGACAGTGGCACAGTGGTTAGCACTGCTGCCTCACAGCACCAGGGACCTCAGTTCAATTCCACCCTCAGGCAACTATCTGTGTGGAGTTTGCACATTCTCCCCGTGTCTGCGTGGGTTTCCTCCAGGTGCTCTGGTTTCCTCCCACAGTCCAAAGATGTGCAGGTTAGGTGGATTGGCCATGCTAAATTGCCTGCAGTGTTCAGGGATGTGTAGGTTATAGGGGGATGGGTCTGGGTGGGATTCTCTGAGGGTCAGTATGGACTTATTGGGCTGAAGGGCCTGTTTCTACACTGTAGCGATTCTATGAAATGTGAGATGCTGCATTTTGGAAAGGCAAATCAGAGTAGGATTTATACACTTAATGATAGGGTCCTGGGGAGTATTGCTGAACGGAGACCGTGGAGTGCAGGTTCATAGTTCCTTGAAAGTGCAGTCGCCAGCAGACAGGGTAATGAAGAAGGTGTTTGGTACACAGCGCATGCCTTTATTGACCAATGCAATGACTATAGGAGTTGGGAGGTCATTTTGTGGCTGTTCAGGGCATTGGTTAGGCCACTTTTGGAGTACTGTGTTCAACTCGAGCCTCCCTTCTATAGGAAAGATGTTGTTAAACTTGAAAGAGTTTGGAAAAGATTTACAAGGATGTTGCCAGGGTTGGATGGTCTGAGTTCTAGGGAGAGGCTGAATAGGCTGGGGCTCTTTTCTCTGGAGCGTCAGAAGCTGAGGGGTGACCTTATAAAGGTTTATAAAATCATGAAGGGCATGGGTAGGATGAATAGCCAAGGTCTTTTCCCCAGAGTAGGGGAGTCCAAAACCAGGGGGCATAGGTTCAAGGTGAGGGGGGAAAATTTTAAAAGGGACATGAGGGGCAACATTTTCACGCCGAGAGTGGTGTGTATGGAATGAGCTGCCAGAGGAAGTGGTGGAGAATGGTACAATTATAACATTTATAAGGCATCTGAATGGGTATATGAACGGGAAGGGTTTTTTTTACAGGGATATGGGCCAAATGGGACTAGATTAATTTAGAATATCTGGTCAGCATGGACAAGTTGGACCAAAGGGTCTGTACATCTTTATGATTCTAAGTGGATTAATATCTGTTTTACATTAGTGAAACTTTTAACGGACATGATCATTATCAGTGACACATCTGATATCTATCTGGCCAGATAATTCATGCTGTCCAATTTCAAAAAGTGGCAAGTCAACCAGATCTATAACTATTATTCAAATGTTATGCTTTCGGTCCTTTAATTTTCTATAACACCGAGTATTTTTATACAGATATCCGATTTAAATGTGGATAAATAGAAAGACTTTGGGAGTTGTACAAAAGTTGAAAATATTGATATTAGTTACAGATAGAAAATGCTATTCTCTGAGTAATGTTTTCTAGATCCCTCAACGTATAATAAAATTCTAGTGATGGAATGGCAGTGTCCCTATCTCTATGCCAGCCAGGAGGTCTGGGTTCAAATCCCACCTACCCCAGACATGCATCGTAACATGCACAATCAGGTTGATTTAAAAATCTCTCAAATCAAATTCAGGATGGTCTCTTTCCAACTCTTCTCTTTTTAAAGGTCTGAATGGAAATCCTGTTTGTGCAGTCAATGATGATTGGTACGTTAACACTCCACTCTCTCCTCATCCATTGATAAAGAGTCAGTTTCCAACGACAATCCTAGGAAGGCTTGGATTACCTATCAGTATCTATCAGTGTAATCCATTTGATGACAGAAATATCTCAAAGTTTGCTGTAGGTATGTATTGCCTTTATTGTGTGAATGCATGCTGGAATTTTCTTCCAAAAAGCTCAGAAGAAATAGTAAAGATTTTCATGTATTTAATAATTAAAGTCTGGAAACATTTCCTGAGGCTGTGACAGAGGTATTTTAGTCTTGCATGCCCACTGTTCTGTCCATGGCATGCTGCAGTGGAGAAACAACATCTCATCTTCACACTAAGCACTTTACAGCCTTCTGGACATAATATTGATTTCAACAGCTTGAAATTGTTAACCCATTCCTTCCCTTTCTTTTAGCTTTACTTCTTACATTCTCTGTCACCACGTCTTGTCTCCCCTCTCCCCAATCCAGTGAAACTGTCTGTTCTTCCCAGACTGGCATTTAGACACACCATTGTTCTGCCATTCTCACATTCTGATCACTTAATCTGAACTATCAACATCCTTTCTCCCCCAGCACACTGCCCTTCCCCACCACCATCCCCAACTATTGCATAGCTGCCTCCACACTTCACATCAGCTCTGATGAAGGGTCATCTCGACTCGAAACGTCAACTTGCTTTCAAACACACAGTCATCTCCAGCATTTTTTGATTTCAGTACAGATTCCAGCATCTGCAGTAATTTGCTCCTAATATTTTAGTCTTTTGTTTGTTCAGTCACTGGATTTGAGCATCACTGTCCAGGTCAGCTCTTGTTGCCCATCCTCAATTTCTCTTGAGAAGGCGATGGTGAGCTATCTTCTTGAACTGCTCCAGTTCATGTGGTTTAGGCTAATCCAAAGTACTAAATAAAAACTGAAAGAACTGCGGATGCTGTAATGGAACAAAAACAGAAGTTGCTGGAAAATCTCAGCAGGTCTAGCAGCATCTGTGAAGAAAAAAACAGAGTTAATGTTTTGGGTCTGGTGACCCTTCCTCAGATCAGAACTGAGGATGCTGCCAGACCTGCTGAGCTTTTCCAGCAACTTCTGTTTTTAATCCAAAGTGCTACTGGAAGGAAAATTCCTGGATTTTGACCCAGCAACAGTGAAGGAACAGTGATTACACCATCATGACAAGATGGTATGCACCTTAGAGAGAAACTTGTAGTTGATGATGTTTGTGTGCATCTGCTGCTTTGGCCTTCGAGGTGTTACAGGTTGTAGATTTGGAAGCAGTCAATCAGGAATTGGACTGTTACCTGAAAAGGAAGAATGTGCAGGACTACCAGGAGAAGGTGGGAGAATGACATTAAGTGAGTTGTTATTCAATTCAACATAGCCACAATAGACTGAATGCAACCTTCTGGGGCTGTAGCATTTCTGTGATTTTATTGAGAGTTTGACTGGTAGAATAAATTTAAAATTAACAAAAAAAAAATGTTCATATTGTGGAATGGATCTTGCAAGAAATCCAAAGGTGTTTATTAATGTGAGAGATAGCAGGAACTCCAGATGCTAGAGAATCTGAGATAACAAGGTGTAGAGCTGGACGAACACAGCAGGCCAAGAAGCATCAGAGGAGCAGGAAAGCTGACACTTCGGGCCTAGACCCTTCTTCAGAAATGGCCCGAAACGTCAGCCTTCCTG